CCGATTTTATGACATGCCCCGTTTCATAATTTGCTGCGCATATTCAGTTTTTGTCATCATAACTCCAAGTAAAGTCGAATGTAGTATACTCGTACTATATAACTAAGTAGAAGTAATGGAATTATGTGCACGCGCTGCATCCTCTTACCTCTAAATTGCATAGTTTTATGACATCTCTGGTTTATGCGTAGTTTTTCTGATGGCTTTGAGTTGTATTATCTTTATTTCCCGTTCTGTTGACAATCAGTCACCACTTGTTAGCATTTATAGCAATCCCATTGGCTCTTCTGGCGTGTGTAATGGATGCGTCATTAATTTAATTTTTGCGTTACATTCCCAATTTGATATCGCATTTCTCTACATTGCTATCCGTAAAGCTACATTAACAAGCTGAGTATACATAGTATGCGAGTATATAGTATATTTGAGAAAGTATATACAGTGTGGTGGAAAAGTGATTGTCCACTTTACAACCCTTTTCATTTAATGTTATCCACTGTTGACAGGAAATGTTAGAGAGATGGCAAGAGAGCTCGACATCTCTCGCTAGTTCGTTCGAAAGATTGTGGTGGATATTTTGGTTATGAAACGCGTTCTTGCTCGACTCGTTCCGATAAAGCTAAATTTTTTTCAAAAAGTTTACCGTAAATAGGCCTATTTGGACATGTTTTATCGCTAGAGAGCATTATGACTGCCTATCACATCGACTTTTATGAAATGAGCGGAAACCAAAAAGAACCCGCTCAAAAATCAAGGTGTTCATTCTTTTTTCGATATTCCTGTTTGGTACATCATGTTTTGTTCCGGAGGAACAGACGGTCAATAAGGAGTTATATTTGGCCGTTTTGTGGAGTTTGCGTGAGAACATTTTTCGAAAACGGCCGGAATTGTGGAAAAAAAAGTTCATGGATTTTACACGATGATAATGCACCACAGCAACGAGCTATGATTGCGACCGAATTTAAAGCTAAAAATGACCATCGATCCATCTATCAACCAATGTATTTACCAGGTTTGACTCCGTATGATTTTTTCTTGTTCCCCAGATTGAAATTGCCACTCGGTGCAACCCGTTTTCAGTCTATCGAAGAGATAAAACAAAATTCGCTAAAGGAGCTGAGGGCCATCCCGAAGAGGGCTTATGAAAATGTTTCGAGGACTGGAAAAATTGTTGGCATAAATGTATTACATCTGGTGAGGATTACTTTGAAAACGACAAAATAAATATTGATGAATTTTTAAATATTTTGTGTTTCATCAAAATGTATATATAACATCAACCACAATGTTAAAGCACGACTCAACAAGTCGATGAAGTATTCGTTATTCAAATTGTTTGATTTTTGTACCACACTGTACTTGGGCATCTCCGCTCAGAATTTCTCATATTCACTTGGCTTTAGTTACTTTCTTATATAAATTTATGTAACGCCATTAAAATAAATTTATACTTGTGGCTGTGTATGTATGTATGTAGATATATTTGTACTTCCACATTTGCCATGCTTAATATAGCTTAATTAATGTTAATTTAATAATCTCTTTTGCATGAATGAACTGATGGCGTTAGTTTTAGGGACACATAAGGAATATACATACATAGCCAACAGTCACACAGAGCTAGATCAGGCAAATGCGATGGTTGGGGCACGATATTGGTTCAAAATTTGGTGAAAAGCTCACGAAAAATCTATGCAGTACGCGACGGTGCATTATCGTGGTGTAAAACCCAAGAGTTGTCGGACCATAATTCCGGCCACTTTTACGAGTAGCTTCGCGCAAACGCCGCAAATCACTGAAATAGTATTTCTTATTGACAGTTTGGCCGATCGAAAGGAAGTCGGAGTTCACCACACCTCGATAATCGAAGAAAACTGTCAACATAACCTTTATTTTTGATCTGCGTTGACGTAGTTTTTTCCGCTTCGGCTCATCTTTGCCACGATATTTCCGGGTCGCAGGCAAAGAACCAAGACTCATCGCCAGTAATACTACGTTTCATGACATTCTGGTAATCGGAAAGTATTGTTTCACAGACGTTAACGTCACTCTGTTTTTCGAAAAAATTGAGTGATTTGGGAACCATTCACTTGGTTTCACGTGGTTTCACTTTCATAGGTCCAAAAAGATCTTTCAAAAGTTTTTTACTAATTCCTCCAACGACGCCCTCAAGATCTCTGACTGTTAATCGTCGATTCTGAAGTACTAACTCCTTTATTTTATTGAGGTGTTAATTATCAGTTGATAGCCGACCTGGACGTAGTTCGGAGTGTACGCGTTCTCGACCCTCTTTGAAAAATTTGTATCAATCAAACCAATTGTTCGCTATAAACAGTTATCACCGAAGGTCTTTTCTAACATTCCGAACTTTTCGGCACCAAAAATTCAAAAAAAATATGTTTCCTTATTAAGTAACGTTAATTGTACTTGGGGGCTTTTGTAAAACAATCTGGTTACGAAGAAGTAACAAAACGTTTTCTGTTGGATGCAAATTGTTCTCCGGTTTTGTTTTCCGATTTAGTTCTGTGTAGGGTATTATAACATCCGTGCTGCCGATGTTAAGTTAAAATTTCAATTATTCTGAAAATAAACAATGTCCGCCTATGGCTCAAGTGAATTAAAAAAAAAAAAACTCCTACTGGCTATTGATATTAATTATCATCAAATTTAATTCCGAAAAATTAAATTGACACTTGGATCTTTTTTTTTTAATTTTCGAAAATCAAGTTCAGCTTTTCTGCTTTGCTTGCACGATTGCGTTTACTTAAGTAAGCTTCCAATTTTTGCAAAAACAACAAAAAACTTCTACAATCAACGCAGTTCAATGCTCCAGCGAGATACTTGTTCTGCAACTCATTAAAGGCATCATCTCATTTATATGGCTTTTGCGCCTTTAAAAATCCGAAAGCGTTAATTTTAAAAATCGAGTGATATTAAAAACAACTTTTACTGCAAAAGGTGTTATAATAAATTCTACAACTTTACTGCTGTGCAAGCTTCTCATTTTTAAGCGCATTCAGTACTGACTTGCGCCGGGAAGAGGTGAAGTACCCGTGTGTTTGCCGGGTCCCTACAAAATAATAAGCTTAAACAAAGAACAACGCCAGCTGAATGAATATTTGTACATGTTTTTTATGAGCAATATTTATAAAAAAATAAATACATACAAAATTCGTATATTTTTAGTGCTATATACATACATATTTACAATACTCGTTTTTGGTTTTATTATTTTAATAATTTTTGGCATAATTTGTATTCTTCCTTGTGAATGTTCAAACTCGAATTACTATTATTCTATTAACATTAACCAATAATAAACACATAGTAAAAGTATATATATTTTTTGTTGTTATTGTTGCTATTGATTGCTATTGTTTTTGTATATTCTAGTTTTCTTCCGTTCATTGACACGTCCGCAGCGTAGATAAATAAGTACATATTGTTTTCTCATTATGGGCCTGCATGCCAGCGGTCAGTCACTTTTTATCATTGACGGCAACTACAACAACAACAACAACGGCAAAAGCAAAACATGCTCGTCGCTGATATTTATATGCTAATTGTGTCATTTAACTCACTTCCGACTGTTTTAACAATTTATAGCGTAATTTCAGTTGATGCGCATTTAATTTCATACACACATATAACGTACATGTGGGCGCTCGTCAATAAGAGCGCCGAAAATTATGCTCTAAAATAGTTCAAGGTGTATCCGCAATTGATCGATCGAGTTTGCATTGCTTAATATTGGCAAATTTTTTTTTTTTTTTTGCTTTTGTTTGAAAAAATTGAAATATTTAAGATTTTATTATTAAATAACAAGAAAAGACAATACAAGAACTTGATATCACAGCTACATACATATATGTTAGTGTCTGATCTGAATAATTTATTCCGACTTTAGGCAATAATCCCACGCCGTAAGTTTGATCATTCAGTTGGTAGCAGTTTATACGGCAGCGGAGATTTGGCTTGAGGTTCCTAAACTTCGTGCCAGGGAGTTGAAGCTGTCTAAAGAGATCAAATCCCTAGGCCTCACATTAGACTCAATCTTACAAGTGGAATTAACACTGTTTAGAGTGATAGTGATAGTGATCAAACAGTCAGCGATGCATGATGTAACAGAGGGCTTTGGCAAAGGGAAAATAGTAGAGTGATTCCACGCTCGACYTACTTTTGAAAGGCAGCACTATCCAGTGCTACACTGACGGAACTGGCAGCAGGTAACAGGAATGCGCCACGCATTATTGGGAGGTTAGCACATAGCTAGGTTTAAAGATATGATCAACCTTCCCCCGAGACTAATTCCGTCTCCTTGTCACACTCTATACTGGGCACTACAGACTCAATAAACACTTTTCCAAAATGAGCAAACTTCCGGTTTAGCGACAGGGAACAGGAAACTTCACAACACCTTATTCTTAATTGCCCAGCATTTTGTTGATGCAGGCTCAGGGACCTAGGATCCATTTACGTGGACAGGAATCACATCATCTCCATCGGGCCCTGCAAGCTCATGGAATTTGGTTTTCTCTGGTTTCATAAGTCCTCGATACTATATGAGGTATTGTCTCTTGAATATCATTTGCGGATAGTGCTAGTTGGAGATATTGGATAGTTTTTTCGATCCAGTTCAAGATTGCAAAAATGGACCCGCAATTTGTCCGGTCAAAGACTGTTTCATGTGATCTAACTTCTAATCGGTTTCCTTAGAAGTTCTTATATACCTTAGACCTTCATACATTAATCGAATGTATAATCCAATTACCAACAATCAATAGCATCGAAAGAAAGTTTTTGCAGTAAATCGCCATCTCCCTAAATATCAAAAAGGTGTGGACCAACAAGCTAGTTTATAGATTTCAACCTAAATTTATAAATTTTTTAAAATAATTTTTTCTACAGTAACAATAGCCATTATAGTCTTAGTCTCTATGCATTTTTCAACCTCAAAACGTGAACCGAATTCTAATTTATTCTCAACATTTTTCTTTCAGAAAACTATTCTGGACAGTATTGCGAAGGAGGACACCAATTTTACCGGCGATGGTTACACCAGTTTGGCGATAATTTATACGACATTTTCGCTATGCAATTGGCTAGCGCCGTCCTTCATCTCATTCACAGGGCCACGAGTGGCCATGTTGGTGGGCTCACTCACCTATACGTAAGAACAAACCTTTGAAGGACTCAAATAACTGTTTATCATTCACCTTTATTTTCGCAGGCTTTTCATGCTCGTCTTTCTGTTTCCCTCCAATTGGCTGCTCTACCTGTCGAGTGGCATTTTAGGCGCTGGTGCCGCCATCACTTGGACCGGTCAGGGTAACTTCTTGGCACGTTGCAGCGATCTTTCCACAATATCACGCAATTCGGGCGTCTTCTGGGCGCTACTACAGTGCAGCATGTTTTTCGGCAACATCTTCGTCTACTTCCAATTCCAAGATAAGGAACATATTGATGCGGCCACACGCAGCATGGTGATTGGTGTGCTGACGGCTTTAGCTGTACTAGGTATAGTATTCCTGGCGGCATTGCGTCCCATGGAAGACAATTCGGTGGGCACATCGGAAATTCAGCGCCAGCAACAACAACATCGTACTGGCTGGGGGAGCGCAGTGTATGCGCTTAAGTCGGCTGGACAACTCTTCATCACCCGAGATATGCTGTTACTTAGCGTGGCTTTTCTCTACACCGGTAAGCTTTTATTGAAGTCAAGATTTCGCAGCTCAGTTTAAGTAAAATTTTCAAATAATTTCTTACAGGCATGGAATTGTCTTTCTTTAGTGGCGTTTATGGTCCCTCCATTGGTTTTACGAAGAAGATACACAATACACCAAAGGAAATAGTTGGCTTGGCTGGCATTTGTATAGGCGCTGGTGAGGTGTTCGGTGGTGGTCTCTTCGGCATTCTCGGCAAGAAGACAACACGCTTTGGACGCGATCCCATCGTTATTGCTGGCTATGTCATACATATGATTGCATTCTTTCTGATATTCCTCAATTTGCCCGACAATGCGCCATTCAAAGATACCGAAGACATCTCGTATATGGATCCGCCACGTGCATGGATTGCTCTGTTATGCGCTTTTATGTTGGGCCTGGGCGATGCCTGCATGAATACACAGATCTACTCGATGTTGGGTGGTGTGTATGTGAAAAATTCCGTGGGCGCCTTCGCGCTCTTCAAATTTACACAGGTTTGCTTCACGAATATTATATAAGTCTTATTATTGTAAGTAATATTTTTCCCCTATTTGCTTTCAGTCTATTGCTGCCGCCATTAGCTTCTACTACTCTTCACATCTCGGCTTGCGCGCTCAATTGGGTATTTTGGTTGTTTTCGGCACAATAGGCACAGCCTGCTTCTGCATCGTGGAATGGGCGGTGAAGCGACGACAACGAGAATCTCCGGAAGACTCCAGAACTGTCTCGCAAGACTCGCGTTCTGTTTCATATGATCAATAAAATAAGTTCTTCTTCTCCTATAGCGCTCCGTAAAGCTCAACTGTATGTGGCATATGCGACCTGATCCGACAACAACAACAATTATGAAGCTTATGAACAGAAGCAGAAAAGTTAAATATATTCATATACATATACACATATATATTTATAAGTAAGTTGAAATCGATATTTGGTTTTATGTAATTAAGAACTTCGAAAGTAAGACATTGTTGCGATATCGTAATGTGTACAGTGGGTGCGCAAAGTATTGTATTTATATATACATTTGTAGATATATGCAAATGTGCGTTGGCTTATGTAAGTAGTGTTTGGTCTTCCGGGACAATAATTAATGTCAAGCTAAAATACAAAAGTAAAGATATTGTTATATATTGTAATTCACTAGTGTAAATTTTCGGCGCATTTTTTATGCGTTTAATAATGATATTGCAATATTTTCCATTTGTTATAACGCCAAACTGCATATTGTTTGTTTTAGATATGAGTTTTTTATATATACAATATTTTATATATATATATATATTAAAAAAAAAGAACACAAGTTGACTATATGTATTAAAAAATCCTGTTTGAATTTAGATAAATGTAAGTGTATGTTTGTAATTGTTGTATATACATATTATTATAAATATATGTAATAAAAAATGTTAGACCATAAATATTAAATGATGAAAACACGTTTTCGTTCGGTAGAATCGTTTTACAAATACAAGTTATTGTTGTTTTGTTTAATTAGAAGTAAAGAATAATGTTTTAAAAATAAGAGCACATTTTATTTCAGATTTTTTAATTGAAGCTTTTAATCAGTTTTTTTCATTTTAGTTTGGACAATACGCCTATTATGCAATTAAATATAAGTACTTTGAAACATCAGAAATAAATAAATTCTCAAAATTGTTTTGTAAATAAACGTATTATATTTACCTAAAAATGTGAACTTTACATGAAATTAAAATTATTCCACAGCGAGAGGTGCCCCAATTTACTGGATATAAAAAATATTTCACAAATAAAAGTTCTTTATTTTAGGGTTAGAAGACCGAAAAACGCGATTTTTCTAGATTTTTTTTGAAAAAAGATTTAGTATTGGTAAAAATATCTATTTGAAAAGAAGAACAGCTGATTTCCGGGAGCTTCTCCCAAAAAAGACGGCTTACGGTGACAACTATGCATATCTCTGAACAGAATCCTCTGAAATTTAAAAACCTTCTAAAATTTGCGTGAAACCTAGAAAATATTCACCGGAACGCTATGATTTATGTGTGCCTTCCCTATATAACACTGTTGTTGTTGTTATTCTACCGGTTATTTAGACTGCATTAAGGTTCAGATAAGTTGTCACCGTCATTCAACTTTATAGGTCGGGGCACAGGGAGAGGGCTATCAAATATGCAGAGTTAGTTGCGCATGCAAAGAAATCGTTAGAGTCATGCGGGAATAAGTAGGAGTTTAATTTGCTGCAGTATCTAGAACGAAGCTGCGTAAGGGTCACTCTCGATTCTCGTGGCAACTCCAGCTCGTCGCCTGCAATGGGTGGTGGATTGACTGCAAGTACTCCATTCGCTGAGAGGATGTCAGTAAAGGTGTTTATGGCTCCATAAGTTTAGGATTATGGTCACTGTAGATTTAGTGGGGGACAGTGTCATGCTCCTTGCAGAGAAGAAGCGAGAAAGCTCGGAAAAAAATCGTTTGCCAAAAACTCCTGTAGTTGGATATCAGCTATCGGCAAAACGCGCTCAAACTAGCAAAAATCTGCTAGATGTCTTATTGTATTTACGCTATTTCACCTGTGAGGCTGAAGGTATGAGGTGCAAACAATCCGTGAGACCTTTTGGATGAGGATTACCATTTGATGCTCTTCTTCCTCTACTCTCTTTTTGTCGATACTATTTTAGGCGCTGATATAATCACTCGAGTTATCTCTCTGGATGAAATGAGTTCATATAATTATTTGTTTGTTGCTTAAACACAATTACAAGTTTCAATTCACAGATTGATCTCACAACCTTTGCTCGATTTTTTATTTATTACATACAACTATTATAACAACTACTATTTCCGCCTAAATTGGTATAAAGTGTTCGCAACAACAATATTTACGCATAACCAGTCCAGTGGCAACGCCAGCGTCTAAACAGCTGCAACACAGAGTCGTATTGACTGGTCTAAAGTGCTCGCTGTGCTTGTGTGAGTGCGTTCGCTTTGAGCGATTTTCAAATGCAGGGCAAGTGTAACGCTGTGTTACTTTGTGCTTTAGTCAAACGTTAGTTGAGTGCTAATTCGCTGTTGGTAATGTTCATAATAAAACGCTGCGGGTGATTTTTCGTGGCTGAACGGCGCTGCATTGGCATTTCTTTGCACCCACCAAATCGAATAAAATGTTTTTCCAATTGTGTTTAGTTCTTAAATCTTGCGGCGAATTGCAAAACTGTAATAATTTGCTTTAACGAAACTCGTCCGCTTTTTTTTAAATTTTATTTGTAGTTTTCTTTTTGTGTTTTTGTGAATCGTTTATTGAAATATTAACAGCAGTGGCTGGAAGTGTGTGCAAATGCAAACAAATCAATTAGCACATTCAGTGCAGAGCAAAATATGTATGTAAAATTATCTACACACAAACATATTTACATACATACTTGCGCGTCTGCGTTATAATATTTATTTATGTGTGTGTGTGCGGTATAAAAAGTGAAAAACAAAGTGTAAATTCGTGCGAATAACTGTGCCAAAGCGTAGGCAAATTTTCAAACATAAATCTTGTACGAAGATGTGGTTTGCTGTTGCTTTCTGATTCTACGCTCGAAAGCCGTGGCAGCTGTGAAGCGTGAATTTCTGTGCGGTACTTCAAAAAGTGCCCAAGGTGTCTAAAGTGTCGACTGTTGGACTGTTGCTGCATGGCGTTCCAATTGGTTGCTGCCGCTGCCGCGCTACTGCCGAGCAGCTAAACGACCATCAGGTAAGAGGCCTTGGTCATACAAATTTGGGCTGTGGTTTGCGCTCTAGGTCGTGGCTAATGAAAATTATCTCGTGTGCTTAATAAATCGATGACCATTGATTGAAATGAGCTCGTTTAAAAATATACAACACACATTGGCATTAATTTGACATAATCGCATTTGTTTATTAGCATTTTTATTATTTCTCCAATTTTTACCTTTCCCGTACGACTTGGAAATAACTGCAACGAATGTCAGACAAAACAAAATTCAACATCGATTTATACATTCAAACAGCACATTCGTTTTGATTTAGTTTTTTTTAGACCAGTAAAGCTCTCAATTTTGCCGCAACTATCTGACGTCTGCGTCTGTAATTATGTATTTCAATACTTATATATCCCCATATGCCAATACTAATGTTTGTGTGCAAATACCCGTCGAGCGTTTGTTGGCATTTTACGTTATTTCGTTTTCGAATCTCAGACATCTAAATCTAACTTTGTATCTATCTGCTCATCCACCCGCAACTGTTGCCCTCAGCGACCAAAATACGCTGCGCTGTTTGTGCGCTCATGCTCACTTATTTAATATGTGTAAGGTCGTTTTCGCTCATAAATACAGAGGCGGTACAAATGGGAAATTTGCCTCCATGTCGGGGAAGTCTTAATTTTTGCTGATTATTTTATGGTTAAAATGTGATTTTGGTCAAATAATCGGTCACAAGCGTCGATCGACGAAACGGAGCATTATCGTGCAATAAATGCCAACTTTCATCTTCGCGGTATTCGGACCTAACACTTTGAATACAGTACACCAAACCTTTCAAAACTCCAAGTTAGAATACCGAATTAACGTTTTGGCCGGGTGGAAAAAATTCAACAAATCAGCATTGTCTTCACTTTTGACTTCTCCATGCGCGATTTTTGGGTTTCGGCTTGTTCGGTACCTTCCATTCAGCACTCTGGTGTTTCGTTTCGGGATCATATATTGTAAAAGAAGTTTTTGTCCTTTTTGACCTCTTTAATGATGTCCATCGAATGTTGGATTCTGAGCAATTTTTGGTCGTCAGTCAATGTGTGTGGAACAAACCGTGCACACACCTTTCGTAAGCACAAATGTTCGGTCAAAATGTGATAAATCGATGTTTTGGAGATGTTCAATTCCATTTTCATGAATTTCAATGAAGATTTCGGCTGTTTTTTTGATGAATTCACGCACAGTTTTGATGGAATATCCGGTGATCACTGATTTTGATTGGCCCACATGTTCATCGTCATTTTTGTCCTCACGACCACTTTGAAAACGTTGAAAAGACTCATGCACTCTGCTACGAGATAGGTAATTATCGCCATAAACTTGTTGCATCAATTGTAACGTTTGGGTAAGTGTTACCAATTTTGAAACAAAATTTAATGTTGGTTCTTTGTTCGAAGCTCATTTTCGCACCGATAATACAAACATACTGGTTCTTAAAACGCAATAACTTCACTTCCAATCAATGAAAATAGCAGATTCTAGCGCACCAGGCGACATATAAATGGCGCCACCACGGGGCGCTAGATTCAAAAAGTCCTGATTACTTTGGTAAACTCCTATAAGATGTTTTTTCCAAACCTAAATCAGTCGTATACGGTGGCACCGTATTAGTTGAAAATTTGGTGAAAAACTCGCGGAAAGCCACGCGGTATACGACGGTACATTATTCGGAGTGCACCGCACATCTATAATCAATGAAAACTTTCAATATAACCATGCTTTTTATTCTTTTCTAGATCCAGTAATAAATCCGTTTCATGACATACTGGTTGTCGGAAAGCATTGTTTCACAGTTGTCAATGCGACGCTGTTTTTCGATAAAAAATTGGGTGATTTTGGTACCAATCGAGTTTTTACTTTTCTTAGTAAGTCAGTAAGATCACTGACTTTGAATTTTTATTTTATTGTCATGTTGAAATACGTGTTTAAATATAGTCATTCAATTCAATTAAACTTGTTTTTGGCCTGACCCCTCCTAAATTTCATTTGTGCAGCGCCCATGTTAAAATGCGCTAACACACCCATCTATGTATTTACGAATGGGAGGTTTATACATAAATACTATGTATATCATCAAGGTTCTTAATTTTGAAAAGTTGTATTTTCCACGCTTGTCTATTTCTTGTGTTGGTTTTGTATTGGTTTTTGTTTTTTTTTGCTTTCCAATTGTCTTCAACTATTGTTCTTTTATTGACACTATCTACGCGGACTGTGAGCATCAAAAGCGGAAAAGTCCACAGTTCGTCGCACAGTGACTGCCAGAAATAGTTGGAGGGGAAAATAGACACAAAGCGGTGCTTACAAATATACATACATATAGAAAAGGCGATGTGCATTCAAAAATTCATTCATTTGCCGCTGCATAACAACAAACATATCTATGTATGTGTGTGTGTATACAAATTTACATTTGACAGCCAGCGGCGATTCCATTTGTCGGGTCAATAAACGCTGAGCGTTAATCGCTGGTCGCCGTCGCGGCGCTTTTTATTTGTGTGATGTCAAATGAGTACGCA